CACTACAGGTTTTCGTATTGAACCGTCAGTATTAGTTGTCTTCGGTTGTTGGATCCACCTAACTATCGCAACATTGATTCTCCACCGTTGATCCCACCTACCACCATTGCTTCTGGTTATAAAAACGACGTCCTGACACCTCCACAACCAAAGATTATCCACATATATGGACTGTTTTGTGGGAGAGAATTCTACACATACACATTTCATTATGTGTAGTCACGATGATGCACACGAGAGGTACTAGAAGAATGTTTGTGAAGATGAAGATGATGCCAAAGGTTGGGTGCTGTTAGCAATATATTGCTTCTCAGGCCTCCGGTAGGTTGTTAGCGCTGCGCTGAGTTAGCAGGTCGGAGTTGCTCATCACAGCGCTGTGCTGAGTTAGCAGGGCGGAGTGCTTATGACGACTCTAACAGTTGTTGGTCTACTTTGAGTTAGCATCAGCCACCTTGCACATCACAGGCTCCAAATGCTTTTGCACCTCAGTTGGCTCTCTCCACCCTCCTTTGGCTTGCTCTTGCAGACCACCAGGTTCTAGAAGAACGTTTGTGAGGTGCTTATATTGTAATGTGTTTGTAGACTTCGATTGTAACAACACTCTAGTTGGTAAAATGTTGTAATATGTTTGTAGCCTTCATACTGTTTTTGTAGACTTCAAATGATTCCCTAATGTCTATGTTTAAATCGATTATTGCATGTGCGTATAATCATTGCTGGCCAGTTTACAAATTGCACCTAAGTTTTTCATAATTTTAAGAATTATTTTGAATCATTACTCTAGCTACTTGAACATTAATTTAAAGCATAGATACACTGTAGATAATCTCAAATAGCATTAAACAAACTAAACCGGCAATGCAGTTAAACCGAATAAGGATTCCACGTCCAATTCTAACTAAAAGAGACAAATTTTTCGTAAGTTCTTCTATCGATGGGCTTCTTCTGATTCCCCTCTTCATCCACAGGTGCACCCTCATCAGCCACCTTAGTTGATATTTTCATGTGCTTAACATAGTCTTCCTCCTAGTACCAGCCGGCACATCCACTACCATCCCACTAAAAGTAGAACACCAAATCAAGAAATTTGAATCAAAATTATCAAAAAATGGCTTAAATCATAAAAAACACGACCAAAAGACCTCACATTATGAGCTGGACACTTGTAGAAGATGCGACCACAGTTCAGACCTTCCTTCCTCCCTCTCCGGCCTCCCCATGGTGAGGCCGTTGTTGGCGGTCCTTAACTCGCATATTTTGACCACCAAATTAATCTGAAATGACAACATTTCATGCTATGTCATAGCAAAATAGTATTTTATTTAACAAGTTCCACGAGTTTTGGTGCTCGGAGTTATTTTGGTGGATGTACTCAAAATTCATGTTAAAAGGATATTAAATAGTACACGTACAACTTGGCGGATATTGGACACCAAAGAAATTCGAAATTTATTTCACAGCCAAACGGACATATTATTCGCTATATTTGAAGTTCGGAATAAAAAGATATCAATTTCACTAATTAAGTCAACGTTACGACTTATGAGCACTCAAAAGAAGGAATTGTATCCAGCCATGGGTCCAGCTACTGCACACGACGTGTGTATTTCAACTAGCTCAGAAAATGTAGCTGGGCCCCGCCGCTCCCATGCAGCCCGCAGCCAGCACACTGGAGCAAGATCAATGCACAAGGAGTAGACAGTTGGGCCCCAGCCTAGCAGCCATGCCGGCTCAAAATGCAGAAGCTGGTGGGGGGTCAACGCCCAGGCGGCCCAGCGCCCAAGGCACAGCAGCCAGGCCAGCTCCTAGGAGGCCAGGACGTCGCGCAAGAGCCCAGCACAGGTACCGCACAGGAACAAGCAGCGTGGAGGGAACTTTTGTACCACATGGACCACGAATTAGTTTCCACTAGTAACACCTATAAATCAAGGAGTAATCATTCACTTGTAACACACACCAAAGGGAGCAACTCTACCACTCTCAAGATGTAGAGTTAGAATAGCCTTGTTGGGAGTTAGGGAGAGTGCTCGGGTTCTGAAAAAGCCTTCGGAGGTCTGGTATATTTTTTTTATTGATCCTTTCGAAAGACTTAATTATTCAATATATTTATCTTCTATAATTACTTAAATATTTTTCATGGTTATGTATTTCTCACCTTAGTTGGTTAGCTAAAGCATGGTTAGTATAGTGGTTTACACCTTGACATGTGCTCTCCGCTCGATGTGTGCTCTGGTTGTCATATGTGGCTAGAGTATGTCGATAGTGTAGACATGGTTCTATACTATAGATTACCTGAGTTTGCGCCCAACCCCACGAATAGTTGTGGTAGCTCCGGAGGTGACAGCTCCCCGGAGGTGACAACTCCGACCAGACCTTTGTAATCCACCATGTTCGGGTTGGTGTTTTCATAGAGCTTTTGGCAGCGTGACCCTGATCACCCCTTCCTAGTCTTTTTGATGGTCGGAAAGGTACTGCTGCTCCAGTGTTATGGTGTGATTGCTTTAATTTATCCACTACTTAGTTAATCCCTCTGGTTTGAACTAGAATAGAACCATAGTAATAAAGAAGTGCATAGGAATCGCTCTCCCGTAGTCCTCCTAGCTTAGCCTATCTGCTCTTTTATCTTATCATGGAGTTCTCCTCTGTGTGTCACTTATACAAAACTCATATTTTATCATTTACCTCCATATTAGTCTACTAGCTAGTGGATACATGATGGTCGACTATTAGTTCTTTAACCATTGCTTCTCTGAGGATAAATACGATACCTTGGAATACTCGTGGGTAAAAGCTACAACGGTATTCGTACGCTTGCAGATTTCTCTGTTTGCATTAACAAATACCAACCGTCGTCTCCTCCAGCAGCACGCGCGGCTCTTCGACCGGCCACCCCTAGTTCGGCAGCCGCCCCGATGCGGCCTTCAAGGCCGGCCACCAATCAGGCGCTCACCCGTGGCAGATAGCTCTGCAAGGCGATCGGCCTCCGCAGATCTCCTCTACAGGGGCCGGTCGAAGCCACTTCCTCCATTGTTGACACCGGCCACGGCCCCGCCCCCGTCCTCGATGCCAGCCACGAGCAATGACCTCCTCTACTTCTCGATCAAAAGAAATAGGCCAAAGCCTCTTCCTCCTTACGGTAAAGTTGCGACCTCCTCTGGGCTGGTAAACTCCTAGCTCGGTGCCCCTAGGAAGCCACCCACAAGCGTGGCGCCCTGAGGCCCATGTCTGCCAGCGGCGAGTGTGGTTCCGGCAGCGACCGCTGCTCCGTCCCATTGCCGGCCATGGCCCTGTCTTGACTGGGAGGAAGAAGAAGGGGCTGATGAGCGGGGTCGGGTCTGCTTGTCAGTGTAAGAGGGAAAGAGTTGAGTGGGGGGGGGGTTGCCTGTGGATGACATATGGGGTCTGCTGTTTTTCCAGAAGCCACAACTCTTCAATCAAATGGCACTACTAGAGAACAGACTTTAGAACGATGTCTCAATTTAGCATTAGCCTCGGCATTTTTTGCCCCCGAGACTAAAGGATCATTAATCCCGGTTAATAATACCAACCGGGACTAAATGTTCCTTTATTCCCGGTTGGAGCCACCAACGGGACTAAAAAGTCCTCCAACCTTTAGTCCCGGTTGGTAATACCAACCCAGACTAAAGGTAAACCCTTTAGTCCCGGTTTGTAACACCAACCCGGACTAAAGGACCCTTTAGTCCCGGTTGGTAACACCAACCGGGACTAAAGGTCCTCCGATGGGTTAGTTCAAAAGGAAAGCATCCCATCCATTGTAAGATGTGTTGTGTAGGTGGGGTGGTAAGCTCCGCGCGAGGCAGTGCATGAGGTCTTAGGTTCGAATCTCAGGGGGCGCAGCGGTGGGAGGCATTATTTTTTTTAAAGCCGGGAGGATCTTTAGTCCCGGTTGTGGCAAACCGGGACTAAAGAACAACACTTTAGTCTCGGATCGCTAGTCCCGGTTGGAAAACCGGGACTAAAACCAGTTCCCAACCGGGACAAGATATCAAATCTGTAGTAGTGTGGCTTTCAGCTTGCTTATAGCCAATAAATCCACGACAGCTTTTTCATAGCCTACGACTCACAACAGTTTTTTCAAAAGTCATAGCTCAACTAGACCGGGTGACTCCATGACACCAGTAGCACATCGACAGCTTTACTGGTCTCCAATCCACTCAAGCTGGGCCTGCGGCTTTGAGAAGGACGCAGGCCACTGACGTATGTTCCCTTTCGTCCTCCACCTGGGTGCTGACAGCATTCCTACCCCATTGCCGGCATTGCATAAGTTTGGAACGCAGCACTACGTCCATATATGCTTTTGAAATGAAAAGACCGAAGGGTTTGCAACTCCTTTTAGTCCTGTTATTATGCCTTTTCGCCACATTCCTGACACGCATTCTGCAAGATATTTGATCATGAAGGTAGGATGAACCATTTAAGGCCTTGTTTGGATATACATGTATCAATCTCAATCCACGTATGTTGAAGTGGATTGGAGTGGAAGTAAACTAAGTTTCATGACAATTCACTCTAACACACGTGGATTAAAGTGAATACATATGCATCCAAACAAGGCCTAAAAAGGTGAATGCCCACTCCAACAATAACATGGACTAGCTAATTACTAATCCTTTCGGAAACTGGGTGCAATTAGCACCGAGCAGTACAGCAACATGCATGTGAAGTTAGTGCTCTTTGAACATTCCTTCCAATTGTTGCGACATCCTCGCAGGTGCAACCTTTACTGCGGGGCATTTCTGTCTCGTCATGACACACGTAACATGCAACATAGGTTCCAGAACTTACCGCATGAACCATGCCATACATATAACCATGGATGGTCCATGCAACGAACTCTCATATCATCGTGTTTCACAGATCACTACTACGAGAAGATCAGATCGAAGCAAGAAGACACTGTGCTTTGAACTGTCCCTGAAGGAGATCGAGAGGCTTTTGCTGGTGACTAATTGGCAGCTAGCACAAAACAAAACTTGGCGATGGCGAGAGCGATTGCCGAGGTGCCGATGATACTCCTGCTCATCATGGCGCTCTTGGCCACCTCAGGTGCGCCAAGGCCGTTGGGCAGCGATGCGTGGGTTGCGGCCAGGGGGGCCGTCTCCGACGACGGTGTCATCTCGCAGTTCCTCCAGCAAATGTACTTCCAGCAGCTGGGAGCCGGGCCCTCGTGCGGCACCAACAGCGCTCAAATGGTGGATGGCCACGGCGCCCATGATCGATGAAAGATTCTGGATTTCAGAAAAATGAAGAAGAGCACATTAGACAATCTTGGAGCTTGACGTCGTGCGTGACCATCGCTTTCATTTAGAGAGAGAGAGAGAGGAGGGTAATGTTAGTTAGATAAGTAGCCGCACTGGTGCTGATGTTCTTTATTAATTTATTATAGCGTGTTCTTTTTTGCTTCACTTTGGGTCGTGTTTGATTCATTGTGTTCAGTCTGGGTGTATATTCATTCTTCTTCAGTTTTCTGTAAAAAGATTGAGACATGCATGCAATCTATTAATTTAGTATTGGGAACTGCTCCGGTTCTCGACCGACGAAAGAAGCACCTGAACTAATTCTTAACGCCTAATTAAATTACCACGTGAAGGAAGAGGGAAGTAAATGGGAGCCAATAAATTTTTCTGAGAGATCTTGGCTTTCTTCCCAACTCAATCTCATAAGCGTCGCAAACCCCAAAAACTCTGCAGTGAGTATACATAGGCCAACTGATGACCAGGTACACTCAACAGAACACAACAGAATAGACTGGAAACAGAAACGATTGAAAACATAGCACGGAGATTGAAATTGCAGCAACGGAACGAAAACAACCCAGCAAAACCGGCAGGAAGCTGGCCAAACCGTACTGGCGAGTTCTATAGGACCTACAGGCCGTGAATTTTCCTCAAAAGCTAAATTCAGTCCCTCGTTCCAAGCCTCCATGTTCGTCCTTTATCACTGCCAGACCATCGGCCGGCACAAACTCGCTTGATCTTCTCCATTGCCATCGACCGTCTCAGTGCTCCACACCTGCACATTACAAGGAAATTCCGCAAGAACTACTCGACAAAGGTTATGTGCGTGAGTCCCTTAGTCCTTGTGCTGTTCCTGTCATTTTAGTGCCTAAGAAAGATGGAACATGGCGTATGTGTGTTGATTGTAGAGCTATTAATAATATTACCATTCGATATCGACACCCTATTCCACGATTGGATGATATGCTTGATGAACTGAGTGGTGCTATTGTGTTTTCCAAAGTTGATTTGCGAAGTGGGTACCACCAGATTCGTATGAAATTGGGAGATGAATGGAAAACTACTTTCAAAACTAAATTTGGTTTATATGAGTGGTTAGTCATGCCTTTTGGGTTAACTAATGCATCTAGTACCTTCATGAGGTTAATGAACGAGGTTCTGCGTGCTTTTATTGGAAAATTTGTTGTAGTCTACTTTGATAATATATTGATTTATAGCAAATCTATGGATGAACATCTTGATCACTTACGTGCTGTTTTTAATGTTTTACGAGATGCACGTTTATTTGGTAACCTTGAGAAGTGCACCTTTTACACCGATCAAGTGTCTTTTCATGGCTATGTTGTGACTCCACAGGGAATTGAGGTTGATCAAGCCAAGGTAGAAGCTATACAGGGATGGCCTGTACCAAAGACTATCACACAAGTGCGGAGTTTCCTAGGACTTGCTGGTTTCTATCGTCGATTTGTGAAGGACTTCAGTACCATTGCTGCAGCTTTGAATGAGCTTACAAAGAAGGGAGTGCCTTTTAGTTGGGGCAGAGTACAAGAGAACTCCTTCAATATGCTGAAAGATAAGTTGACACATGCACCTCTCCTCCAACTTCCTGATTTTAATAAGACTTTTGAGCTTGAATGTGATGCTAGCGGAATTGGACTGGGTGGTGTTTTGTTACAAGAAGGCAAACCTGTTGCGTATTTTAGTGAAAAATTGAGCGGGTCCGTTCTAAATTATTCTACTTATGATAAGGAATTGTATGCTCTTGTTCGCACATTAGAAACATGGCAGCATTACTTGTGGCCTAAAGAGTTTGTTATTCATTCTGATCATGAGTCTTTGAAGCATATTCGTAGTCAAGGGAAATTGAACCGTAGACATGCTAAGTGGGTTGAATTTATTGAATCTTTTCCTTATGTTATTAAGCACAAGAAAGGGAAAGAGAATATTATTGCTGATGCTTTGTATAGGAGATATAGCTTGCTGAATCAACTTGATTACAAAATCTTTGGATTAGAAACAATTAAGGACCAATACGTTAATGATGCTGATTTTAAAGATGTGTTGCTGCATTGTAAAGATGAGAAAGGTTGGAACAAATTCATCTTTAGTGATGGGTTTGTATTTAGAACTAACAAGCTATGCATTCCAGCTAGCTCCGTTCGTTTGTTGTTGCTGCAGGAAGCGCATGGAGGTGGCTTGATGGGGCATTTTGGAGCTAAGAAAACGGAGGACATACTTGCTGGTCATTTCTTTTGACCAAAGATGAGAAGAGATGTGGAGAGGTTTGTTGCGCGTTGCACGACATGTCAAAAGGCTAAGTCACGGTTAAATCCACACGGTTTGTATTTGCCTCTACCTGTTCCTAGTGCTCCTTGAAAAGATATTTCTATGGATTTTATGTTGGGTTTGCCAAGGACTAGGAAGGGACGTGATAGTGTGTTTGTGGTTGTTGATAGATTTTCTAAGATGGCACATTTCATACCCTGTCACAAAACGGATGATGCTACTCATATTGCTGATTTGTTCTTTCGAGAAATTGTTCGTTTGCATGGTGTGCCCAACACAATTGTTTCTGATCATGATGCTAAATTTCTTAGTCATTTTTGGAAGACTTTATGGGAAAAACTGGGAACTAAGCTTTTATTTTCTACTACATGTCATCCCCAAACCGATGGTCAAACTGAAGTTGTTAATAGAATTTTGTCTACTATGTTAAGGGTTGTTCTAAAGAAGAACATCAAGATGTGGGAAGCTTGTTTGTCTCATATTGAATTTGCTTATAATCGTTCGCTGCATTCTACTACAAAGATGTGCCCATTTCAGATTGTATATGGTTTCTTGCCTCGTGCTCCTATTGATTTGATGCCTTTGCCATCTTCTGAAAAACTAAATTTTGATGCTACTAAGCGTGCTGAATTAATGTTAAAACTGCATTAAACAACTAAAGAAAACATAGAGCGTATGAATGCTAAATATAAGTTTGCTAGTGATAAAGGTAGAAAGGAACTAATATTTGAACCTGGAGATTTAGTTTGGTTGCACTTGAGAAAGGATAGGTTTCCTGATTTCAGAAAGTCTAAATTGATGCCTAGGGCTGATGGACCATTTAAAGTGTTAGAGAAAATTAATGATAATGCATATAAACTCGATCTGCCTGTAGAATTTGAGGTTAGTCCCACATTTAACATTACAGATTTGAAGCCATATTTGGGAGAAGAAGACGAGCTTGAGTCAAGGACGCCTCAAATGCAAGAAGGGGAGGATGATGAGGACATCAACACCAACGATACATCCACGCCGACACGAGTACCAGTTGGTCCTATTACTCGCGCCCGTGCTCGTCACATTAATCATCAAGTAAGTTCACTCTTGAGTTCCTGTCCATTATATTTAGACCATGGAGACGCGTGCACTCTTGTTTTGGTTAGGAACCAGGGAGAGGACCGAAAGGGACAAGGATTCGCGGAGGCTGAATTCGGACTCCAGGATAGCTCCATTACTTTTTCTTTAGGAGAACATAGCATCTTGAGTGCTGTCGCAATTTTAAATAAATCCCAACTCGCAGTGTCAATATTAGAAATTTCCTTAATGTACTCAGCAGCATTGCGCAAGGAGTCCCTATATGTCTGTTCACACAACGCTCACACTCATAAATGAAGCCTGCCATCTCAATAATATGCCTAGTAACCTGGATACAAGGAGCATTGCTACGTCAATAATACAGAACAATAACAACGAGAAAACACTAAGGAAAAAATTATGTAAACAATATTGCATCAAAATATTTTGGTCAACGAAGATTAAAGGCTTAATGTACATGGGGAGAAATAAAGCATAAAGCACTTCAATTACAGACATACGGGGAAGGAACTGATGGGCTCACCTTCATATCTGGTTTGATTTCACACCCAAGCCCATTCAGAAACGAAATCATTCCAAAACACATTGGCAGTCGATCTTCATTAAAAAACACTGATGTTTCTGCAGTCACTAAAGACCGCATTTGTATCTTTAAGCCCCACATCAACTCCTCCACAAAAGGAGGACACAGGCAAGATATCCCCTGAAATAATCCACAGAAGAGTTGGTGCCTAAAAACTGTTCATAGACGTAAGCAACCAAGGAGCTTAACATTAACCATGTTGTTTTCAATTATTGTTTTATAATCCTCATTTGCAACGGCTAGTTTAATCTCAGGCTCAATATGCTTCGAGAGCATCTCAGCAAGCGCGTCACTGATACCACTATGTTGATTAATAGCATTGACCTTGTCCTAAAAAATTCTGAAGTTTTTGGGGGAAAATAGCCTGTCAAAGACACAAACAGCGACAATCATGTTAAGGGAAAATGATGTAGTGAAAAATTATGTCGCCCGGTTGGGGTTATTCAGTAGTTACATGCATCAATTGTGATGGCAAATACTTGTGCCTCGATTATTGCAGTGTAAATCAAATGGATTCATGTGTCAAGCTAATACAGTTAGATCGAGATCAAACGTTGTCATCCTCCCATTGTTCCTGGTTCTGTCAGGATTCTGGACGACCTGTCGTCCGGCCGCTGCCGCGATGCCGCTGCTGGTTCACGACGACGACGGCCGTTCGGTCGAGCAGGCCCCTGCCCCTGCCCCTGCCGGCACTGGCTTGGTCATGGACTCATGGTGCTGCAGTCTGTTTGGAGGCCGTGGCACAAGCTGCTGCCTCTAGAAATGAAGCAGGCTGGACCCTCGTGTAGTACGTGGGAACCCAACAATCTCTGCCCACCACCAGCGCCACCAAGGAGGCCATGAAACTAGGTGGTGCACCGTGGCGAGGGGAAAATGCACGCTGCGTGTGTGTGCGTGGACAGAGGTTGCAGGCTGCAATAAGAAGAGCTAAGATACCGTTCTAGTAGCACCCACAAAGATAGTTACATTTAATTTTGGTATACATATATAGATTCAAATCGTCTGTTCTTTCTCCTCTAGTCAGGCACACATGTATTGGTAT